TATTGTAAACTCAAATCAAATTTTAGCACACAGCTCTTCCTATAACTTAAAAGAAATCACTTTCCACCCCTAGACTATTTTTGTGTGTGTGAGGCAGTTAATTTTAGGTACAAAACAAGAACTCATTTAGCTTCTCCCATCCCTTCCAGGGGAATATTTGAAATATAAGGATAAAGGTGTCAGGGGAGAAGAATAATTTACGTTCAGGTTCACACACTAGTACCAAGAAACCAAATATTAAGGATTAATCCAAAGGCGGTACCATGCTGTCAGCAATTATTTAAAAAAAAAAATCAAGCCAAAGAAGAAGGTAAAAGAAAGCAAAAGAAGGCAGGAAGAGAAGGGCAGGGGTGGGCCGGCTAGGGTCACATCACAGGCATAAAAGGAATGGAGAACAGGAATGGCTTTCAGCAACAGAAATGAGCAAATCAGAGCCCCCTGGGTGGCTGTCAGTTAAGCCTCCGACTTCAGTTCAGGTCATGATCTCAGTCTGACTTTGAGCCCCCCGTTGGGCTCTGTGCTGACAGCTCAGCCTGCTTTGGATTCTGTGTATCTCTCCCCCTATCTCTCTGTGCTCTTCCCCTGCTCATACTCTGTCTCTCTCTGTCTCTCAAAAATAAATAAACATTTAAAAAATAGAAAAAAAAAGAAATAAGCATATCGGGGCGCCTGGGTGGCTGAGTCCTTAGGCATCTGACTTTGGCTCAGGTCACGATCTTGGGGCTTGTGAGTTCCAGCCCCAAGGCGGTCTCTATGCTGACAGCTCAGAGCCTGGAGCCTGCTTCAGATTCTGTGTCTCCCTCTCTCTCTGCCCCTCCCCTGCTCATTGTCTGTCTGCCAGTCTGTATCTCTCTCTCAAAATTAAATAAACATTTAAAAAAAAAAAAAGAAGCAAATCCTTTTCTCCTTCTAGAACTGGGAGAGCTACAGTGCTAGCTGAAGTTTCACTCACCATTTCTAGTAGACGAACTTGTTTCTCACTTTCCTTTCCTCTACAAGAGAATCACATGCACATGTGGGTGCATGCGCACACACATGTGATCCCTGCGCACATACACATCATTATCTTTGGACAGCATTGAGAATGACATAAATGGCACTAATGTAGTTTATTACCACAGATCTGTTCATAAGTGAGTTTTCTTATCAGACTTCTCATCATAGTGACTCACTGTAAATTGGTTCAGATGCATAGAGATATTTTTTTTTAAATGGCAAAGAACTGTGGCTAATGTTGATTTCTTTCCTATGCTTGAGCACCTATCCTTCAGCAGCAAGATGCAAGGTGTCATAAAGCCTATTACTACATAAACATTAAAACATGTTATGAGCTGGCTGAAACAAATAAAATAAGCATTCAAAAATCTATGTATTAAACATGAATAGAAAGTACTTTAACAAAACACTAGTAGAAACAAGGAATTGGTGCATAGAAGGGGATACAATGGATAATAAAGGAGCATCAACCTTTCACTATTTCTCTCTTCCATCCAAAAAAAACCAAAAAACCCAAAATACATATCAGTGAGTTCCATAAACTTAAAATATTTTCAATAATATATACAACGTTATTTTTTAAGGTTATTTATTTTGAGAGAGACAGAGAAAGAGAGAGAAACCCAAGCAGATTCTGTACTGCCAGCAAAGAGCCCAACTTGGGGCTTGAACTCATGAAATCATGAGATCATGACCTGAGCCAAAACCAAGAGTCAGACACTTAACCGACTGAACCACCCGGGCGCCCCTATACAATGTTATTTTATTCATTTTTTATTAATGTTTGTTAATTTTCAAGAGAGACAGACAGACAGACAAACAGACCGTGAGCAGGGGTGGGGGGGGCAGAGAGAGAGGGAGAAACAGAATCCAAATCAGGCTCCATGCTCTGAGCTGTCAGCACAGAGCCCTATGCAGGGCTGGAACTCACAACCCCGAGATCATGACCTGAACTAAAGTCGGATGCCTCACCAACAGAACCACCCAGATGCCCCTATTATTATTTATTTTTGAGACAGAGAGAGACAGAGTGTGAGCAGGGGAGGGGCAGAGAAAGAGGGAGAAACAGAATCCAAAGCAGGCTCCAGGCTCTGAGCTGTCAGCACAGAACCGACCAATGCAGGGCTTGAACTCACTGCAAGATCATTACCTGAGCCAAAGTTAGAGCTTAACCAACTGAGCCACCCAGGCGGCCCTATACCACATTATTTTAAAGAAATAGAGAGATTTATCATGTGCCAGGCATTGTGCTGGTTTACATGTACATATTCTATGGTTCACAAAATACCTCCATGAAAAGGATTCTACTACTGGTTCCATTGTACAGATAAGGAAGCTGAATCAAAGAGAAAATAAACATCTTGCCCAGTGTAATCCAGCTACTAGGCAGCACAGCTGAAATTTCAACTCCAGCATTCTGAGACCAGGGGCCAAATCACAACTATAATTCATGGTCATGTATGCATATCCATTGAAAACATGAATTCCATCCACCAGAGAAAAATTGGAGCACTCCGGATGCATGCTACAGGGGAATTTCCAGTCTGCCAGACACCAGAGGATACTGCTGGGAAATCCATCCTACTCCTGATTTCCCTGCCTCCTGAGCAAGGTCATGGTCATCAATATTTCTGCTACATTCTAATGAAATTAGTTTAGAAAATTAAACTTCCATGCTTAAACATAATTTTTCTATGGCTTTTTGAACACAAGGGTGTTCATGGAAACCAAGTACACAAATAGAAGCTTTGGAAAGCTACTTAAATTTTTATCCTAATTCAGAAGCTCAATCTTTATTATATATATATATACTGTATATATATATATCTTTAATTCTTTTTTTTTTTAATTTTTAATGTTTTATTTATTTCTAGGAGAGAGAGAGAGAGACAGCGTGAGCAGGGGAGGGTCAGAGAGAGAGGGAGTCACAGACTGAAACAGGCTCCTGGCTCTGAGCTGGCAGTCAGCACAGAGCCCGACGGGGGGCTCGAACCCACTAACTGCGAGATCATGACCTAAGCGAAAGTCGGACGCTTAACTGACTAAGCCACCCAGGCGCCCCAGTATATATCTTTAATTCTGAAAGTATGAAAGGCAAATCAATGAATGAATAGGAAATCCTCGTATGCCACTCTGTGCTGAGAGATGACCTTCACATTTTCATTTCCTGTGGATACAAGAGTGTATGGTTTGCTTGAGCTCATGGCTGGTAAGGACCTTAAAGGTCATCTTTCCTTCTGACTACAGCAAAAACTTGGAATCAGAAAGGTCAGCCCCAATATCATGCCATTTTCTTTTTGACAATTGGAAACAAAGCAAGAATCAAAAAGAAATCATTGTTTGTGACCAAAGACAGAGAAACCAGACCACTCATAAAACTATATATAGTTTTACTTTCATGAGGACAGCAAAAAATAAATACCTGGGGTTAATCAAAGGAATAGACATTTGCTGTATTTTAAACCAATACAAAAGTTGAAGGAAGATTGTGTTTTTGAAGAGAAACATAATTAAAACATATGTCAAGGTAAGAACTGTGACTACCCCTCTACCCAATACTGGAAAGAGAGGGTTTCACCAAGTTCCTTCCTCATTGTGTCTCCTATGTGAGCCACACTTGAACTTGTGAGTTCAAATAAAACAGAAATATTGCAATTTCATAACATGTATTTATGAGAAAAGAATCTACAAAAGCTTTTAAAGTAATTTAAAAAAATTAAGGTGTTGACATCAAATGAAAGCAGTTGAGTCTGGGAAGTAAGATGGACTGAGTTCAAATGCAAGCTCTTACTAACCACATTTCCAGGGAAAATTACTTAATATCTCTAATAGTAAATTTCTCTATCTATATAATGGACCTAATAATTCCTTCCTTATAAGGTTGCTGTAAGATTTGTGTGGAATAGTATATCTAAAGTCCTTGGCACTTCCTTCTTTCCTTCTCTTCTTTCTATTTTAATGATCTTCCTGAAATTAGAAATATCCTGTGCAAAAAATTTTTTTTTCTTTCATTGAAATAAATATCTGAGCAAAATCTGCAAGACCCCTATACCAGGTATCACATGACACTATAAAATATGCAGCTCATCTAGTAGCAAGAGAAAAATTTCCCATCTCAAAATGCTATAAAAACATTAAATTTCATTTGTGATGTACTAATTGACACATTTTTGTAAGTATAATTCATAAAAAATATTTTTGAAGTTTTTCTTTGTGTGGCATGGTCCTCCTCTCAATTCACTGAAGCCACAACTTACAATTTGAAAGCAAATTAACATCAGTGATGTGAATATTTAGTACCATAAGAAAATGAAAATCAAATTCAAATTCTATAAACACACGCATAAAAGAGACAAGAAGTTGTACAAAAACTACTACTTTTTTTTTTAGAGGTGTATATCTTGTAGGCCAGTAATTTACATTTAGGATCTAAATTTACCTGTCTAGTTTCCAAATCAAGTAGAAAAAATTTAAATATTGCTTATTTAAACTACATCAACTTTTTTATGAAACAAAACTGGAGTGTAAATTTTCAAAAATACATGTCTCACGTTGATGTGCAAGGACCAGAGGAGACATTCCATACTTTGAACACAGGAAACACCAAGTTCTTCCTATCAGGCACTCATAGCCTGGAGAAATCGCTTGATGGCATGTGGTCATTTGACTTTCAACATATCCATTTTGTGAGTTAATGACAAAGGCGTCACATGCTTGCACTTCCATACACCTTACCAAAGGCTTTGGGATTTTAAGGATATTTTAAGGATTATCTCATCAAAAACAATACTACTTTATAGATATCTCTAGAAGCAGGAATTTGTCACTCAAAGATCTGATCTTGACTGGAAAAAATGACAGCAAGTTGCTTTTATTACACCATCGTACACTGTGCATGTGAGTACATACGGTGGAATTGTAATAGATTACGTACATATAAATGCCATATGCACTCATGTGATGTTTCATGATCATCACTCCATTTTCTCTTCATATTATGCCGTCATCTTTGCTGTGCGGTTCTGTACCATATTATTTTCATTTCAACCACAGCTGCATCATTGCTGCTGCCAGATCTCTGTTTTTTGGAGAAAATATACAATTTAAAATTGTTTTTTTTCTTTTTTTTTATCAGAAAGGAAAGTCATCAAGAATTAGATTTTATTTTAGGAACAAAGTAAGGTTTCATGGGAGAAAAAAACAAAGCCTTGGTGTAGAGAAGGTTTGTTCATTTTCTATAGCATTACTGAAGTGTCCGTATGCCTTGATAAACCTATCAATGTTTGGATCATCTTAATGGGGGAAATAACTTAACTCTGTTTTGGTGTCTCAGCAAAGGTAAGTTGTCTATTTTGAGAGCCTAACTGGGTAGTTTTATACTACTGCATCTTGTGAGTGAAACCCCAAAGTCTACCCAGGTAGCTTGCTGCCTCTGTTTCCCCAAGTAGAAAAGGCACATGGCCAGTGGGTGGAGGAGGAGGTGTGGGAACTGGCCGGGAATTTACTGTGTGGAAGAGTTACCTTAGACCAATTATCTTGTATTGGTGAGAGACAGATCAGTGGAGGGGGAAGCTAGTTGGGTTAAACTGATGCTCTATTATTTCATGTTCTCTAGTGTCTCTCTTTCAATGCCATCATGGAAGAACTAGGAATCTCACTCAAAAATCAGAAAAAGCTAAAGAAAAAGTCAAGAACTAAGGGGAAATCTCCCTTCACAAGTATCCTTACTTGTCATCAGAGACGAACTCAGAGGAAAGAGACTGTGGCATGATCCAAGAAAACACTGGCAAGAGCTTTCAGCAAGGAAAACGATATGCTCACTACAGGTTTTGAGAGGAAGGCTTCCTGACAAGTGTGTGATGTGTTTCCCTGTATCTATATTCATAACTCTGGGTATGCATATAGATATGAGAAATACAGCAGCTTAAAAAAGCTCACATAGACTGATATTACTTGGGAAATGCCACTGGTTCTTTTGAAATGAATTTGTATGCTCACTTATTTTGCCTTTTCTCCTTCTTCTCAATAAATTGCTGTGTGCGCTTTCTAAATAATAGTAAATCAACAGGGTTTTTTTTTTTTTCCAGAACAAGTTTGAGTGTTGGTTTGTTCTCTATTACTCAGCTCCCGTTCACAGTGTTTGGTTGTCAAATGTCATATTTTCCAGTTTTCTGTTTTGATGAATCCTATTACTGGTTCAGACACACAGAATCATTTCTGGCTAAGTCAAAAAATATACTTCCAGTTCATATCAAATACCTAGTTATTATAGTAAAGTTTCACCTTTGTGTTTTAAAATCTGACTTCATAAAAACTTTTAAATGGCACTTGGAACATTGGTGAGTATAAGATAAAAGAATTCTAAAAAAAAAGAAAAAGAAAGAAAGAAAGAAAAAGGAGAATTCATTCAAAAAAGAAAGGTGTCCCTCACATTCTAAGCATCATTCTAGGTTCTGGAAATACTATGGTGAGGAAGACAGATATGGTCCCAGCCTTCACATAATCTATACTTAAACAAAACAAAACAAAACAACAACAAAAAGTTCGAGTACTCAAAGAAGGATTAGCATTTCCTCAGTGGAAGCCAGAAGCCAAAGGACTATGTATTCAATCAAGGAAGTCTTCCTGGAAGAAGGCACAGCTAAATAAGGATGGCAAGTTAATCAGGTGAAGGGAGGGCTGTGGAGAAACAAGGATTCTAGGCTGAGGAAGCAGCATATCGGGAGGCCCTGAAAGGAGAGTGAATAGGGCCAGAATGGTGGAGGGAAAGGAGTTTAGTGTGACTAAAATGCAAGGGGATGCAATGGACCTGACAGGCGACAGACACTCTGGTTGAAAGTAAAGAAAGGATTGAAGGAAAGGTGACTGAGGAGGAAGAGACAAGGTCATCCAAAGGCTCTTTCAGGAACCCAAAGAAAGGACATCGCAGCCAGGTCAGAGCAGGGGCAGATGGACCACTGGATGATGGAAGTTACTCAGAGGCACAACGCATGGGGCCAGAGATTCAGACAGTGTCCGTGAGGGAGGGAAAAGCGGGGTCAGACAAAGTCCAGGATTGGGGTTGGCAGGGAGAGGGATGCTTAACTGGGGAGCTGAGGTATCACTCATTATACCAGGGACCAATGGGAAAGGAGCAGGCACTGGATCAATATTTCATATAACTAAATCCCATTGGTTTCTATAGGATTGTTCTATAACTAAACAAACCTTGGTATCTAGTCCCTGTAGAGTTTAAGCACAAAAATAGTTCCAGATGTAAAAAGAAAAGAGAAAGACACTTTTAAAATAGCAATAACAGGGACCGGCCAGATATTTTCCTATGATTGTGATCAATGCTCAAATTTTGGATAAGTCAGAATTGGAAGATAATGTATTTCATTAAAAATGCATTAAGATGCTTACATAAAATCCATGAAGATGCTGATAGTAAAAATAATATGCTGGAGCACCTGGGTGGCTCAATGGGTTGAGCGTCTAGCTCTTGATTCCAGCTCAGGTCATGATCTCAGGGTCATGGAATCAGTCCCCATGTGCCTGGATAAATGGAGTTGGAGTTGCAATTTACATAAATGAGAGGGGTGCCTGGGTGGCTCAGTCAGTTGAGCATTTGGCTCTTGATTTCAGTGCAGTTCATGATCTCAGGATTGTGATATCAAGCCCCACATTGGGCTCTGCACTGAGTGTGGAACCTGCTTAAGATTCTCTCTCTCTCTTACACACTCTCCCTCTCTCAAGTACAATTAAAAATATTCATAGATAGAGAGATATAGATATGCTTACTGATAGAAACAGAAAAACAAACAGAAATATGGTTAATCCAACAGCTGAAGATGGACTAGATTGATAACATATTAGAAGGCAGATGTACAGTGTGTTTAGTTCACTAAATAGCATACCAACAGCATTCTATTTTACATTTTCTAATGTAACAGTGTGATACTTTTCTCTAATTTCAGATAATATTACTGTATCTTTTCATAGACTGTTAGAGTAATTTGTGGGAAAATAAGTATTTCAGCTCCTAATATCTAAAATATATTGTGTGTCAATCTGGTTTATAGACACTTTAAGGCCCACTAACCAGTTTCCTTTTCATTTATCCATAACTACATTTTCATTCAAGGCATATAAAACTTGGGATGAGTAAATTGGTTAAAAACTATATTGATCTAGGGGAAACTGCAGCATGGGACTTTTATGTCAACTAGCAAATGTGCATAATCATCTCCCTTCCCCACCCCATCCCCCACCCCCCACCAATATTTTCATTCTGAAAGCACATTTGGTATGAAGGCACGTGCATGTGTTTCTGTGTGTCTCTCTGTGTAAGGACAAAGATCAGAGTAAGATATGAGTCCACAGGGGAGAGAAAGAAGAAATTGTGGACTATCTAGAGCTTGGTCCAGAAAAATTCCCAAGAACAACCATTAATCTTGGAGATTTTCATCCCTTTCACTGAAGAACAGTAACTCATACACAGTTATGTGGAAATCAATGGCAAAGTTAATTAAAAGCTAGATATTACATTTCTTCCTTCAGCAATTTCTTGATGCTAATAGACAAGGATCGCCCAGGTGAGGTATTCAGCAAGAGAGAGGGAAATCAGTGTTGACTGAAAGATAGTGTTTATGGTTAAGATTTACTCTCCTTTCCAAGTTTCAAATCTGGGCCCTTCTTGCCTTTAGTAAAGAGAAAAGGGAAAAGACAATTCATTGCTTGCACTGACTTTGTGAGGTAGATGACACATCTAGGGGCTCTGTGGCAACAGAGCTTATTGAAAAAATAGGAGTTTTCAATTCTTAGCCCAGAAGAAGCTGGAGAGAGAGAGAGAGACAGAGAGAGAGAGAGAGAGAGAAATAAGGAGGAAGTGGGTCAAAGAAAACTAAATGAAGATCAAATATCTGTGACCAGCAATTTTTGTTCTCTGTCTCAGCAGTTCCTGCTTTAATTTAACCCTTTGCCTGGTCCAAAAAGACTTAATATTTTCTTAACCGAGAAGTTCCTGGGATTGTTGTTTCAAAGGAAAAATCATATAAGAGTGACTGTTCTGGGAAAGGTATTTCTAGGAGATACCCATGCAGTGTGATTTTTAAAAAAACATAAAGTCTACCCACCCCAAAAGATATGGTCCACCAGATTCTCTCTAACATCAGAGGGGCTAATGTGTTTGGTAACAAACTGAAGCACTGTCTAAAAGAGACCCAAGTTACAATCCACTTGCTCAAGGCTTTTATTAGTTGACTTGTTCATCTTGGAGCAAGGAGAAAAGAACAGGTATTCACTGATCAAGGATGTCCAGAGGAGTGTCATGAGCCTACGGGGCTAGGACAAACAAGCCATTCCACCTAAAGTAATGGAGTGCTTGGAGAAGGAGCCTGTAGGGGTTGGGGAAGAGGCAATAAAAGTGAGGCTGGGACTTCGAAGGCACACTAAGGCCTCAGTTTCATTCAGTCTAGTCCTGTATATGAAGGGAATTTTTCTCCAGTTATATTTCTTAAAAAATGGCTGTGTGGAGGGAAAAAGTGGGACAAAATAGGAACAGTAAATCCATCAGAGTAGAGACATATATGCTGTATTTACAAGCAGTAACTCAAAATGCCATAAACCTTGGGAGTGAAATGACTAACATTAAACCATACTGACAAGCTGACACTTAGAAATCCTGAAACATGCAGGATGACTTTGCAGATGAGGCTTTGCATAGTGTGAAGCCTCATACTATGTCATAGGTACACTAGAGAGGTTGCTTGTAAGCTTTGCCCACGGCGTAACCAATGAGACTGAAGTTACTTTGTTTTTACACAGCTTAGTCAGTTAAGTGAGACTCCAAAATGGATTTGAAGGCATGTATGGTCTGGTTTGTTTATTCAAAGTGTATTTATTCATTTTGAGAAAGACAGAGAGGGCACAAGTGGGGCAGAGGCAGAGAAAGAGGAAGCAGGCTCCACACTGTCAACAACACAGAGCCCATGCAGAGTTTGAACTCATGAACAGTGAGATCATGGCGTGAGCGGAAACCAAGAGTCAGTAGCTCAACCGACTGAGCCCCCTGGGTGCCTCTGGTTCATTTATTTAATTCATATCTTTTTTCTTTCCTTTTTGCCATCATTTCTCACCCCTTTTTCTTCATTGGTAGAATGCCCAGATGTTTGCTTTGAACAATTCTTCATTAAGCCTGGAATTGTGAAGTCTTATAGGTTAAGTAGCTGCCTCCTCTCACAAAAGTATCCCAATGTGGACAATACGTCATAGGCTACTTTGCTCACTAGTCGTCAGATGTCCTCTTCTTGGAAGCCACAGAGTTCTACTTACAAAGTTGAAACCTCTACTGATGGTAATAGAGAAGCCTCATCTAAATAGAAGGCAAAGGACCCCTATCCACTATCAAAGTAATCCAGGATAATCTGGAAGGAGTCCAATTGACTTTATCTCATTTGGACATTATGAGAAAGATTAGATACATACATACATACATACATACATACATACATACATGGATAGATGGATGGATGGATGGATGGATGGATGGATGGATAGACAGACAGACAGACAGACAGACAGATAGATAGATAGATAGATAATAGGTAGATACTATTGTGTTAGTTTGGTCTGTGCCCATGCTCCTAGTACATATCAAGGCCATGCCATCAGATGTTAATAATTATTATTTATCAAGGATGTGTTAAATCTGATTGCATTGTATTTACCTCATAACATTTGCTCATGTAATAGTTATAGCGACCTTAAAGTAAATATTATTTTTTATAGAGTTAAAAACTGATGCTCAGAGGGGTTAAATAGCTTGCCCAAGGTCACTTAACTATAAAATGGCAAATGATACAACCTAACCCCAGCCATATTGTCACAACCACACTCTGTTCCCTCCTAATTCTTTGAGATGAAGTACTGTTGGCCAACCTCAGGCCTCGCCCCAAGCATACTTGATCTCACAGTTGACACCCTGTAGCATTGTTTCAATTTCAGAAAAGGAAACTGTAAGAAAAAAGGGTAAGTATCTCCCCAAAGTCAGACTGCCTATTGGTAGAGGAACCAAGATTCTAACTTCAATCCATCAGAGCCCAGAGATACTCGACCACAGCACTAAATGAGCTTATGTATTTAATATTTTTGTTTTATTTATATTAAAACAAATATTTGTTTTGTATTCAAATACATTCTTGACTCAATTTTTATTTTTATTTATTTAATTTTTATTTTTTAATGTTTATTTTTGAGAGAGAGAGAGGGAAAGAGAGAGACAGACCTTGAGTGGGGGAGGGGAGGACAGAGGCAAAAACAGAATCCAAAGCAGGCTCTAGGTTCTGAGCTGTCAGCACAGAGCCTGATGTGGGGCTCAAACCCACAAACTGTGAGATCATGACCTGAGTTGAAGTTGGATGCTTAACCGACTGAGCCACCCAGGCGCCCCTTAAGTGTTTTTAAAGAAGTATCATAGGGCAATTAGTCATCTTTCACTATCATTTCATAAAATAATTAAAGAGATAGCCATTAATGTCGCCAAGAAGCAATATCTAAGGATACCAATGCCTTGCCAAGGCACTTAAATAATAGTCATTTCCAACCCTTAATAGTTAAAATAAACTCTCCACCAAATCTGCAGACTAGTTGTATTACTGATTTGAAATAACTCTGAACATTTCTTGTTCCTAAGGCAAGTCATCCAAGTCATAATTAAAACATGTGAATGGCATGATGTGACAGTTCGGTGAACATCTAAAGCCTCACCATGTTCCAGCAATCTCATAAAAGACCATTAGGTTGTAAACTCCCAGTTGGTTATAAACTTCTAGAAGGTGAATCAGAATATTTCTTTTCAATATCAATCACTCTATAGAAGTTGTTTAGCCTCTTACATATGGTGGATAAGAAACAAAGACTTGTTAAATGATTAATGACAACCTTTGGAACATACACCATGTAGACACCTGCCACAAATTTAAAATAAGATATAGTCCTTCCCTTTGAGAATATTAGAATTGAATAGGTCAGATTTCAAGGGTGAAATTTTGTTGGCTCAATTGCTTTTTAGGGACTATAGCTGTGAATACCATTGAGTTTTCTAGGATTTGTATTCCCGTCTACCCACAAGAAACATACATTGGCAAATTCTTTAGCAAGAGGCCAAGAAATATAACAATTTCAGGAAATAGCTACACACACACAAGATAAAGATTTTTAAGTAACCAACATCACAGAGAATTTTAAATGCATTGATAATGTCTTCAGTACTTGTAGATCTGTCATTAAGCTATTTCCAGAATATCTCTGAAGAGGCAGGCTGCTTTTCCTTGTCTTCATGATAAATTCTGTACCTAGAGCAGCAAATTAAAATGAGACCATTTTTAATAAAGCCATGCCAAGATTTAAAAGTAATTTGGTGGCATTAAGCATAATAAACCAAATTAGAGTGATGAAAGAAACATTTTCATTAAAGCGTTTAAAAAAATGACACTCAAAACTCCAATGTAAGGATGGAATTTAGTCTACAATGTCTCAAGGGAACCAAGATAACAAATGACAGCTAGAATTTTAAGCTCATCATAACAAATGTATAATTAGTTTTGACCTTTTTACAACATCCCAACAAATATAATGATTCATAAGCATGCATATTGCAAATGAAATTAATTGCAAGGGTATCTTTCACTGAAATGTTTAATGATCTCATCATAGATTTCCTGGATGATTTCCTTCTGACTTCCTCCAAAAAATGATGCTATTAGATAAGCCACACACCAGGTTAATTTCACTGAACCAGAACCCACCAGGATCTACAATTTGTGCCTGGCTCATGTTTTCCTAATTTTATGGAAACTTTTTCTTTCCTCCTCTCTCCCCACTTCCATCTGTAAGTGTCCAAACTTGACTTAAAGACTCAGGTCAAATGCCACAGATGCATGATACTTTCTCTGATTTCTTCCCATCTCTCTCCTGTGACCTTTATCTACCCTTGAACAGCTTGACCTTAATGTTATTTGGTCCATGTTGGTAACTTGTGTAGCACTTTATTGTGTGCCTAAATCAGCCTCTTTGTCCCCACTCCCAGGGACTGGCTTACATGATGCAGGATGCTACATGTATTAAATGTGCAAATGAATCCAACCAAGACCATTACATTGTTCCCCCAAAATATAAAACTTTACTCATCTCTTCTGTTCTTAAGTTTTCCTGGAGAGAACTTGGATTCATATTTTCCCTCCATGCCTCCCTCTTTATGTTTTCCAAATTTAATTTTGTCCCCAAATATGTAACAAAATATGGCAAGTTCACAGAAACTCATGGAACACATCAGATCTTTCAAGCAATGATCCATGTTGAAGAGATTCTTCTTGGGTAGAAATTTTGCATTTACCTTGGCAACCCTCAGAAGTCATTTGTGAAAATAAAAGATAGAAGTATAACCCAGACCCTAAAAGTATGTAACATGTTAGCAAAAATGACTATACATCCACAAAATGCATTTCTTCAAAAATTTAAGACTAATAGATAAAAGAGAAGGAAAGGAGGGAAGAAGGGATGGAGGGAGGGAAGGGTGAGTTCCTGAGTGCAGTTAAAAGACACCTTCACATTTCTAAAGAGATGGACTGGGATATGAAGATGGATGGTTTTACTCCTCCACTGAGGAAGGCAGAGAGAGGGGCTTATGCTATAATCTAAAAGAAGTAGGTTGTGAGTTGGACTCCTGATAGCAGTGATAGAATGCTAGCATCAATTATCAAAGGACATAAATGCTGCATCTCTGAAAGGATTACAGAGGTTCTAATTTGTTTGAGATGTTTTAGTGCCCGTGCTTCTTTAAAGCAGAAAGATGGGCTATACGATCTACCAGACACCCAGGTAGTTTTATTGATCTATATAGCATTAAATGCTATTTAAAATATATCAGATGTGATTGTTCCTTTTAGCCATGAATTTGTACGTAAGGCTGAAACCGGAGAACAAAGAAGCATCAAGTACTCCACTTTCTAACCAATGTCACAAAACCTGTGGCCAGGTATGCCTTTCAGGTCCCATAGTTGTCATTCCAATCATGCTATTGCTGCCCCTTCCTACTCCCCAATCAATGAAAGCAGAGGGCTACGAGGGACAAAGTGTGAGAGACATTTCACATTATCCATCTTGGAAAGTGGTACCTTTTCCATATGAGGGAGGGATGTGGTCCCTGCCGCCATCATCAATTGCATGAAGGGGGCACCACAGAAGGGCTGTAGGTCCTCAGGCAGAATTTTTGTCTTTACTTCTCCCAACAGGATTGATTCTTTATGGTTGAGTGGATCCCTCCAATTTATTTTTAAAGCGCTCAAGATTAAATATTGAAGCTGAGTTTTATTCTTTGATATACTCTTGGCTTAGCTTTGGATAAATCATAAAATTTTCTTACCTGAGGATAATAGCAAGAACCCCCGGGCACAGCCATCTGGGGCAAAGAAGGCAGTTTCATGAGGGCTTATTTCCTAAGTAGTGAGCAGAGATAAGGAGAGCATTAATGAGGAGATGTTACCAGCACCAAGTCTGAAGGAGTAAGGGAAAGGAGCAATTACCAGAATCTGCAGTCCTCTCTAAAAGAAGGCCATCCAATAGGGGCTGTGGCCTTGAGGGGAGAAATGCATTCACTTCAAACCTGAGGTCCAGATGGGATAAAGCCAGCAGGACGATGAATGTAACTCTTTTTCAAGACTAATCTTTTGATCATGCCTCATATTGATTCAAGTCAGCCAGAATCCATCTTTGACTTACTGGGCAGGACAGTCCACTGATTCTGACTCAAAAAGTCACTCTCCTAGACTAGAGAACAAATTGAAAAATGGATGTGGTGGGGCGCCTGGGTGGCTTAGTTGGTTAAGCGTCTAACTTTGGCTCAGGTCATGATCTCATGGTTTGTGAGTTTGAGCCCTATGTCGGGCTCTGTGCTGACAGCTAGCTCAGAGCCTGGAGCGTGTTTCAGATTCTGTGTCTCCCTCTCTCTCTGACCCTCCCCTGCTCACGCTGTCTCTCTCTCTCTCTCAGAAATAAATAAAACATTAAAAAATTATTTAAAAAAAGAAAAATGGGTGTGGTGGTACAGAGACTACTCAGCACTATTTTTCTTCTATATTAAGATTTATGTAGATCAGTAAGCAATAAGTACCATTCAAATCCAGAGTATTAACATTAGACATTTCACCGTGAAATCCAATATGCTTCCTGAAATCTACTTTAACTTATATAGAGATCTGATGTTACAAGTTTCTTCTGGGAGAGATAAAAAGAGTGGAATAAAATCAACATAAGGAATTTTAGAAGTATAAGGAAACAACTATGTATAAGGCTCAGGATTTGTAGTTAGCGATACCTGGGGGAGTATTGCTCAACTGCTTACTACATATGTGAATCTGAGTAAGTTACTTCACTTCGCCCTGGACCCCACTTTCCTCACTCCAGCAGTGAGACTGTTAACAATGCATATATCATGCCTGACACAAAATATTGTTATTATTATTAAAGTTAAGATGAAGAAAACAAAACTCCACTAGAGAATCTCTATCTGGTTTCAAAACAAAATCAAAGAGAAATACAATGGGCAGCCATGAGGTTTCAGATGCAGCTCACAGTTAAACTGCCATATTCAGTGGCCAAAGGACTTGCACCCCACAATTACAAAGTGGTGCTTCTGCAGGCTCACACAGAGACTCCTCATGCTCATTGTCATCAATAAATTGCAACATTCATTTCTGAGGCACATCAAAGCCAAATAGGCTACGACCCAGCACGAGAGAACAGGAAGGTTTTGTGGGCCGCTCGGCTGGCTCAGTCAGTAGAACATGCGACTCCTGATCTTGGGATCATGAGTTTGAGCCCCATGTTGGGTGCGGAGATTACAAAGAACAGCATAGTTTCATCCTAAGTTTGTGGTATCCTCCAAAACTCCAAAATATACCATTTTGTGGGACATTACTGGGCCCTTTAACAAGTGTCAGTCAAGGTCCCAGCGTGAAACAGATGGAATTAATAAAAGACCTTTTTCTGAAGGGACTGTTTACAGAGGTGAATGCAAGAATGAGGAAAACTGATAAGGGCTGGCATTATCATCCTGAAGTCAGAAGGGACAGTGAAAATTAATTATGTTACCAGAACCCAATCAAGGCATTAGTCATAGGAGAGAAACCACCTTAGGAGCTATGGCTGTGGGGGTATTATGGAATATTGTGCAACAGAGCCTCCTCTTGATTAGACCCAACTAGAAGCCACATAGGCTAGAGAGAGTGGTACAGTCTGAGAGAGGTCAGACTCCTTCTAGCACACAGAGGTTTGCAGAGAAGTATACAGAAGTTATACAGGGATGATGGAGAATAACCATCACAGCACATGCTCGGTGAAATCAAATTAAAACTAAGACCAGGTGCAAAATTATCCATAAGGAAAGATGGAGGCCATGTTCAGAGAATTATTTCTCATTCTTGACAGAACACAAAGAAATGATACCATCGTGTTAATAGAGCTGGTTGAAGCCCATGGCCAAACAACAAAAAGGACTTCATTATATTCTGTCTCTTTAACGGATACTGCAGAATATTCTGGGCTTCCCTTCAATGCCCATTCCAAATCTCCAGCTCACTCCAGACCTCACCAGCTGGTCCAAGTCTCTTTAATTTCCTACTAAAATACTCGAGAGATATATGACTTGAAGTTCAGCCTAAACTTCTCTAGCCACTTGGCTCAATAACCAGGATTGCTCACTGCTTACATCATGTGGCACAAAAGTGATACCCACAGGATGTAATGATGCCTGGTGATTACAGTCAATCATATTGTCGGGTATATTTGAACATTGCCAAGAAAGTAAATCTTAAAAGTTGTCATCTTGAGGAAAAAAATTATAACTTTGTATAGTGGCAAATAGTCACTAGACATTGTGGTCAATATTTTGCAGTGCATACAAATATCAAATCATGATGTTGTATACCTGAAACAATTATAGTGTCAATCATACCTCAGTTAAAACAATATTTACAATGGCATTTAGAGGCACTATATCTGGATTTGGGTCCTAGTTTCAAAACCTACTCCAACATGTCTTGGATGTACCTGCCACTCATTAAACTGATCTTTGGGTTATTCTTCTGTAAAAAGGAGAAAAATATTTCTGTCTTATCTCCAGGAAATTTAGGATATAATAAGAGAATATATGTGAAATTATAAAGTACTACCACAGTATAAAATGTGATTATTAGTCTGTGCCTTTCTTGGCCATTTATAATTCTTGACTTTGAGTTTTATAAATATTAGATTGCATAGGCAACAGTCATAAAGTCCAATAAGAAATAATCTTATTTAAAATAAAAATAAAAAAAGGAATACCCACAACTTCTGCAGGATTTCAGTGAACAGCCTCTTCCCTTCAGTGTTCATTGATGCAGTGTGTGTTGGGGTCTGGCAGTTTTTCCCTATTTAGTAGACCTGCTGTCTGAATATAGTTCTGGAAAAGCATCTCATGCTATAGCTACTTGAGCTCCCATGTTAGGAGAGGTTCTGTCTCGATACAGTGTTGAAGTGATTGTTTCTCTTCCTGCTTCACTACATTTCCCAAAATTTCTGATATTCCAGAATGAAAAAATAATTTTTAACTGAATCCTAGGGTTTTCAAAAGTTTCTAAATGGCAAAAGCTGTTTATGTAAGTGCCCAAAAAGAAAAACATAAGTTTTTGCCGTGAGGGAGATGGAGGATAAAATGAAAGATTGGATGAATTAAGGCTACTTTTGTAAGTCCTGATTTTCAGTACTAGCCCTGCATCAACAGCAATAACACTTGCTTTATCTTTGAAGTTGATAATATATCATGAACAAGCGAGGTTTATCTCAGAAATGCAAGCAGTACTCAAATATAAAATAAATCAATACAACTTACCACATTAGTAGACTAGTGAAAAAAGTTATTATCTTGAGCAATGCAAGATAAAAGCATTGAAAAAGATTCTATTTCTATTATGATATTTTTAAGAGTCCCTTGAATAAGAGAAATGAAAGGAAACTATATGTTTAATAAACATTAAATACCAAAACTAAAGGCATCAAACATTATGCTTAATGATAATCTTTAGGTCTATTTCCTGTAAGAATAAGAAAAAAACAAAGATGTATACTAATAGAATTACTATTTAATCTAGTCTAGAGACCAAAAATTACATATAAAATATTATGAAAAGAGATAAAATGTTATTTGTAAATGCAGTAATCATCTACCTAGAAAAATCAGCAGTCTCAAAAGACAAACGATTAAAAGTAATTAGAGTGAGTTCATTACAGCTGCCAGATAGATACGTGGCCAAACTACAAAAGTCAATTTCATTGTCTTATACCAGCAAGAACTACTTACAACATGTAATACAAACGGGATTTTACTCATAATAGCGATAAAAGCTATAAAGTATCTTAAAACTAAGTTAACCAAAAATTCATAAGAACACAATACATAAAATTTCGAAATGCTACTAAAGGACAAAGAAGGCAGGGGCACCTGGGTGTCTCAGTCGGTTGGATGGCCGACTTCGGCTCAGGTCATGATCTCACGGTTCATGGGTTTGAGCCCTACGTCGGGCTCTGTGTTGACAGGTAGCTCAGAGCCTGGAGCCTATTTCAGATTCTATGTCTCCCTCTGTCTCTGACCCTTCCCTTCTCACGTTGTCTCTCTCTCTCTCAGCAATAAATAAAATGTTAAAAATTAAAATAATAAATAAATAAAGGACACAGAAGGTGAGTTGAATAGATGGAGAAATAGTTCAGACTCCTGAGTGGTGGGAGGACTTAGTATTATAAAGATATTAGTGGTCCTTAAATTCATCAACATAAAGCATCCCAATCAAAATTAGAGTTCTTTGAAAAATTGAATCAACATACATGAATATGTACCTAGAAGAATAAAAACCAACAAATATCAAAATCAACTTTTAAAAAAGAAGAAGAAATGTAATGTACCTGATACTGACATACTTCTGAGTCACAGTAAGAAAATCCAGAAATGGGGACGTCTGGGTGGCTCAGTGGGTTAACCATCTGTTCAACTTTGGCTCAGGTCATGATCTCACAGTTCGTGAGTTCAAGCCCTGCATTGGGCTCTGTGCTGACAGCTCAGAGCCTGGAGCCTGTTTCAGATTCTGTGTCTATCTCTCAGTCTGTCCCTCCTCCACTCACACTCTGTCTCTCTCTCTCTCTCTCAAAAGTAAACATTAAAAAAAATTTTTTAAGGAAAATCCAGAATAGTATTGGCACAAAAGCAGACAAATGACCAATAGAGCAGAATGAGTTCACAAATACACATATGTGCGGGAAGTTAGTATATGATAAGGCTGAAATCATAAATTAATGGGTAAAGATTGCTCAAAATTGATTCATTACATGGAGAAGATAAAAGTGAATCCCTCCCCAATAAGATTGTAAGGGTGAACTTTAAAGTAACAAATAAGACCTTGGGAGCAGC